AAAAAAAAAAAAAAAATCAAGAAATCAAGTAGAAGTATAGCATGATGTAGTGTATACTATACAAAAATTCTACGGAGCCATCGAATGGTTTTCTTATGGAGCCATCCACCACTTAATGTGTTGACACGTGTCCAAATTGTATTTATTGCAGGACACGTGTCAATGCACTATTGATGAATAAGTGTGGATAGTTCCGTAAGTCGAATCGTCCGATGACACCATAGCAAAACTGGTATAGTATATTAGTAAACAACTTTATATATTGGTTATTTGCATTCATAAGTAACTAATTAATATTACTTGAGAAGAATAGATACAGCTATACTAGCCCTAGATATTAGATAATAAGCATATATATATATCACAAATCAATACATGATTGATGTGTCTATCTATATATGGGAATTGGGATAGAACAAGACCTTGCTTAGATAGATGGATGATATGTGACGCAAATGAATATTCTCATCCTGCTAATTTCTGACACAAAAGCAAATACCTTATTAAAAAAAATAAATAAATAAATAGATACATAATTATAAACACAGTACATTCTGATGAATAATCTTTAATTTTCTGTGAGGTTAAGTCAAAGTCACACACATATTCTTTTTATTATTCTTTGGGTTTTTTTCATTGCTTTAATTGGTGCTTTCTTTTCCATGTTATGCTCTTCTTTTGATACAAATCCAATTTCTTATGTTTTGCCTATGAATGCATGGCATGCACAAGGTTGTGAGTTGTGATTAGAGTTGTAAAACAAGCTCGAGCTCCCGATACTCGAATATAGGCTCGAGCCTTCATTTAGCCGAACGTTTAACTCGATGGGGAGAATATAAATAAGTTCGATTTTTAACTTAATAATATTAACGAGTTGGAAGTCGAGGGCTAATAATGCTCAAGTACTCGTTTCTTAACGAGTCGAATTTTAGAGAATTATATAATTATATAAAACCCTTTATTTTCTAGTTTTCGACTGGGTGACTGATCGAGTTTTAAACGAGCTCGAGGTCAGCTTGTTTTTCATATGAGTCAAATCGAATTCCAAGAATGACTTTTTTCGTTTGGCAACTCTATTCATGATACAATCATACAAGTGAATATTAAAATTTATTAGAATCATAATGAAAATTACTTTAAAAATTAAAAATGCCGTGTGTAAAATTGGTGATATACAAGCTAAGAACGAGAAATGCTATAATTACATAATATCATACAAAGAGGTGTACATATCACTCATATCCATTGGGTCCTACAAAAAATAAATAACCAGACTCCACTTTATGTGAGTGTTATGTATATATGTACAGTTATTATGTACTTATAACATTTTTCTTTTTGTAAATGCAAAAACACGTTATACATAGACATGGCCAAAACCCGGGCTGCTAGGCTCGTAAACAATGACCCGGGCCCGCCACGGACCTATACTCGTACCGGGTATGAGCCGGGTCCGTCATTTTCTTAAAAAAGACAATAGAAAAAAAAAATAGAAATTGCGGGCCATCGGCCCTGCCCGAATCCGTTGGGTCTGGTCATGAAATGGATGATCCTAAAACGACCCGTCAAAAATTCCATCTAGTCCCAATCCCGTGGTCAACGGGTTTGACCAGGCTAGGTCCGTGCCGGGTCGGCCGGCCAGACGGTCCTTGGCCATGTCTAGTAATATATAGACAATTCAAGGATAATGAATACACATCTTATAGCCATATAAGGATATATGGTTGGAGGTTGAAGCCCTACCTGCAGAAATTTATCATGCGAGTGTTGCGAGACAAATAATTCATTTTTTGCATCATAATCGTTATTATTATTATTATTATTATTATTATTATTATTATTATTATTATTATTATTATTATTATTATTATTATTGTTATTATTATTATTATTAAAAAATAATAATAATATAAAAAATAGAAATGATGATTGCAAAGATTGATGGAAAAATCAAACATTATATTATATACGGTTTTGCTATGAAGCCAACAGTTGGTTCCATAGTGGAGCCAACATTCTATATACAACACGTAAAGCATACCATATTCTCTTATTACTTAAATAACATTAACAATTTTATTAATATTGTATGGTTTATTTGCTGTATATAGAAGGTTGGCTCCACTGTAAAGCCAACTGTTGGCTTTATAGCAAAATCGATATTATATATACTAAAATGTGTCACTTTCATCATTTCAAAATGAAATTTGATTTATTATTATTTTGTATTTATATATTTTATGTAATTATTTTTTTATGTGTCCCTCCTATAATATTGCAGGTTGTATTATGTATAGCTCATCACATGCAAGGTGGGTCATTTCATCACGTTATATATTGCATCAATATAGCAACCTCCACCCACTAATGTGTGTGTTATTACTGTTTTGTGTGTTCTCATCACAGTCTTTTGTTGTTATCCTTTAATTTTAGATCATTTTTTCCAATTCATAATAATTTTTATTTTTATTTTTTCTGGTTCAAATTATAGACTTTTTCTTGGGTTGGCTGAAAAAGTGAAAACAATGTTTTGTATCATTAATTATGTGGTTGCGATCGAGCAATAGAATTTGATTTATTCTTGAATCTAGAAATATATATATATAAGAACGTGGTTTAAATGAGAACTAAATCCTAGCATGAAAATCGTGAGAACCGCTATTTTTAATTATATGAAGTGTTATGATTGATTATGTTCTAGTGCTATTTTTTAACTAGGATGTATTTTATTAAAAATAGCAATAAAGTTTTTATTAGTATTTGTGAAAATGATACCACCATGCAATATTAAAAATAGCATCATACAAAATTAAAGATAGCATCAAATATGAATCTCACGGTTCTCACACCAAACTTAATTTTCCCTATATATATATAGTACCCCCAAATAAAAGCCACATGCAATTGATCTAATGTCAAAAGTCAAAAATTCATTAATGAAAGTTTTATTATCATT